AGTTTTGTTTACAACTGATAGTTTGCTGTCAATTTTAACACGGAGTGCAAAAATGAACATTTCCAACACATTTTATTTCTTTTATTTTCAGAAAAGCAAGAATTCATTTATGGCTATCGGATTAGTAACAAAGTAATTTCGGTTTGCATCAATAGGTAGAGTTATATTTGCATTGTCATTCTTTCGTTAAGGTTATAATATTTTTGTCTTCAGCTTTGGTAGTTGACACTGTACGAGAGATTGCAAAAAGTTTAAAGGCATCGCACACAACAGTTGAATATCACACAAGATGTCTTGGACTTGTTAAGAAGGTCGATGTTTGGATTCCGCGTGAATCGAAAGAAATTCACTTAACACGAAGAATCGATATTTGCGATACGCATTTTAAACGTAATGCGATCGACCCTTTTTCGAAACGAATTATCCCTGATGATGAAAAATGGATCGTTTACAGTAATATTAATCGAAAAAGGTGATGGTCCAAGCGCGATGAACCAGCGCAAACCAAATCGAAAGCTGAATCGCATCAGAAAAGGATCATGCTGTCAATTTGGTTGGACTATAAAGGTGTTGCGTATTTTGAGCTGCTTCCAAGCAACCAAACAATCAACTCAGATATTTACTGGCAACAACTTATGAAACGAGAGCAAGCAATCAAAGTGAAAAGGCTAGAAGTGGCAAATTGCAAAGGAATCGTGTTCTACAGCGACAATGCGAGGCCTCGCACATCTTTAGCAGCACGTACAAAATTATTGTAGCTTGGTTGGAAAGCGATATCGCATCCTCCATATAGCCCCGACCATGCACCATCGTATTATCATTAATTTCGAGGTTTACAAAACTTTTTAATCGTTAAAAATCTCCATAATAACGATAACTTCGAATCGCACTTGATCGAGTTTTTTACCGATAAGAACCAGAAATTTTACGAGCGCGGAATCACGAAGTTACCAGAAAGATGGCAAAAAATCGTCGAACGGAATGGAAAATATTTGACCGATTAAAGCTCGTTTCATGTGTAGAAAAAATTGAGTTCTATTTCACATTGAAATACCTAAAATTACTTTCTTGCCAACCCAATAAATAACTCCAATCCCCTATCTCCGCGTCAGCCTGACGGAGAGAGTCAAAATCGCCGATCAGGCCCGATCTCTTCGCGTAATTAAACGGTCGGTCGTTTCCAATTCTCGAATGCGATCTCGACTGTCACGAAGGACGCGTCCGATCGGCGATAGCACCGGCGCTGTCGTGTTTCGCAGTTTGCTTCGACCGGCCATTGAAGATTTGCGATGATGCGCCGGAACGAATGGATCAGAAGCGCGCATCGGGTTCGCTTTTTTTCTAGACGTTTACGTTTACGACCGTTTACGATCGTGTTACTTAATAAAGCGAGGCTTGTCGGATAACGCGGCGGTAAAAGTAAATACCCGGATCGCTCTTGTTTCGCATGCAAATGGCGCGATTCATTCGGAACAGCTTCTAATTTCGAGCCGAGAGTCCCACGGTCATTGTTCGAGGCAACGGTTCGTAACGTGTTTCCCCGCGGAAGTATTTAGCAAAGAATGGGGGATTCCAGTATTGTTTGTAATCGTTACTTTTACTTTCCAAACGACGAACGATCTTCTCCGCCGTTTCGTTTCGTCGGTCCCATCTGCGATCAAGCATTTAAACGAGGCATCCATCCATTCTTCAAAAATATTTGTTACTAATATATATATATATATATATATATATATATATATATATATATATATATAATACAATAATATATCATAATATATAATATATCATAATTAAACTGTTCGCTATTAATGCGCCGCATTGCGCGCTAATAGTTACAAAAATAAATCGAGTCGCTTTCAAGTTTCTCAATTTCTAAACGCCGCAATTTAAATTTCTAGGTGGCCGTAATATAAACAGGATAATATCTTCGCACGGAAAGTTACGAATTTGCTTAACACACACACGTGCGCCCGCGCGCGCGTATCATTAATGTTTAATTAATGAAGCATTGGTTACGTGTTTCACACGGTTTTCACCGATCGTTCGCGCGACGCGAAAACTAGAATTCATTTCGGGATCTTATTCATCGATCCGGCCACGCGCGATCTTCCATATTTGCCGTTTTTTTAGGCGACGACCTATCTCTCGTTTTAACCAGTTAACTGTGTTCGACGAGTATATCCGTCATGGAGATGTGGCAGAATTTTGTGTCATGACGATTATATCCGTCGTTCGTAAAATTTTGTTAGAATTTGATATTTAAATTGTAATTCTGGCGAAAACTTAAATTACATTCGTAAATTTTAATATGTTTAAAATGTTTGGAGGTCAAGACGAAATGAAACAAACAAATGAAAATTATAAATAATTCGAGTTGGATTCATAGCTTCCTGAGAACTCACTATGCGCTGTTCCTTGTTTTCGTGAGTATCACACGACAGCAACAGTTGAAATTTTTAACTTCTATAAGTATTTGATTTTATTTTTCTAAGTTTTCCGTTCATTATGTATAAATATATATGTTCACGTTGAGCGACTGTGTAAATATTACTAATAAAATTGTTCATTTTCTAAGATAAAAAGTCGTCTTTTTGATCCAATATTTCAACAGCGCCACTTGCTCTGTGTTCGACGAGTATACTCGTCGCCGCTTGATTCTCGCGGCACGTACAGGGTGTCCCAAAAATAGGTGCGCGCTTCGAAAAGGAGGCGCCACAGCTAACTGGTTAATAAGACTTCGTTCGCTCGAGAGTGCGAGAGATTATTGCTGGATTCGTTACAGACTGTAAAAGTTCTGCTTAATTTTGCGAGACCGACAGCTCTCGCGGCTGCATACGTATACGCGAATTAATTTATTCGTTGAGTAAAAGCCGCCGCGGCGCGGCGTGCCGACGAACGGGGCAAGAGTGAATCGCCTCGAGTGCAAGAAAAATTGCTGGCCGACAGGTTTCGAACTTTCGTTGGTCCATGCCGCCTAAAAGGCTGGGGGGGAACAATGACTCCCTTCGACCCACGAGTGAAAGTAAAACGAAATCCCTCTGCATTTTCAGCCGTTACAGATCGTTGACACGGACCAGATGGAAGGCGTTGCCCACCGTTCGATATACAAGCACGGAATCGTGCCGCAAAGCGTCTCGCGACTAGTTCCACGCGACAGGATTATACCGTACGGAAATAAGAGCGCAAGAACGCCTAAATCTTCGTCACTTTTTGCCGGCCGCTTGCGCATTTCACTTTCCAGGATCGAAACTACTTTCAGCGCGGATCGTAACGGCGGAGCGTGTCCAGATCGGACGCACCGCCTTCTCTGCTCCTTTCATGTCGCAGCAGGCCGCACAATTGACAAACTGACCGAAAGATCTTGATTTCGTTGGTGACAAATTGTTTTCCACTGATAGAAGAAGATCCAGTGAAGAAGATTGTACGCTTCGCAGTGGATGATACTTGCACCAAGAAGAACATTATCCAGCGTCGTCTCAGTTTCAATTACATTGAGTTGGCGGGAATGTAATTTCGGTATTTCAATGTGAAATAAAACTCAATTTTTTCTATACATGAAACGAGCTTTAATCGGTCAAATATTTTCCATTCTGTTCGATGATTTTTTGCCATCTTTCTGGTAACTTCGTGATTCCGCGCTCGTAAAATTTCTGGTTCTTATCGGTAAAAAACTCGATCAAGTGCAATTCGAAGCTATCGTTATTATTGAGATTTTTAACGTTTAAAAAGTTTTATAAACTTCGAAATGAATGATAATACGATGGTGCATGGTCGGGGCTATATGGAGGATGCGACATCACTTTCCAACCAAGCTCCAGTAATTTTGTACGTGCTGCTAAAGATGTGCGAGGCCTCGCATTGTCGCTGTAGAACACGATTCCTTTGCAATTTGCCAATTCTGGCCCTTTCACTTTGATTGCTTGCTCTCATTTCATAAGTTGTTGCCAGTAAATATCTGAGTTGATTGTTTGGTTGCTTGGAAGCAGCTCAAAATACGCAACACCTTTATAGTCCAACCAAATTGACAGCATGATCCTTTTCTGATGCGATTCAGCTTTCGATTTGGTTTGCGCTGGTTCATCGCGCTTGGACCATCACCTTTTTCGATTAATATTACTGTAAACGATCCATTTTTCATCATCAGGGATAATTCGTTTCGAAAAAGGGTCGATCGCATTACGTTTAAAATGCGTATCGCAAATATCGATTCTTCGTGTTAAGTGAATTACTTTCGATTCACGCGGAATCCAAACATCGACCTTCTTACAAGTCCAAGACATCTTGTGTGATATTCAACTGTTGTGTGCGATGCCTTTAACCTTTTTGCAATCTCTCGTACAGTGTCAACTACCAAAGCTGAAGACAAAAATATTATAACCTCAACGAAAGAATGACAATGCAAATATAACTCTACCTATTGGTGCAAACCGAAATTACTTTGATACTAATCCGATAGCCATAAATGAATTCTTGCTTTTATGATAATGAAAAAAGTAAAATGTGTTGGAAATGTTCATTTTTGCACTCCGTGTTAAAATTGACAGCAAACTATCAGTTGTAAACAAAACTGCACG